TATGTCTGTCCCCAGGTCTCCTTGTTGATCCTCCTAAGGAATTAAAAACACTAGGTCTTACAGCTACAATACTTCAGGCATCTCTACAATAAAACCCCCTAATTTGGTAAAAGGTGGTGTTTCTACCCTAGTTATTATTTGCAGTGAGAAATTAAAAAAAAAAAAATAAATCTTATGTTTAAAAATTGGGAGAGACATTGAAAATAAATACAGGAAGTTGAGGAAAGAAGAGCTTGGTGATACAGTGAAGAATGCAATGCTATGCATTTATTCATTCAACAGAGAATTAAATCACATCAAATAACATAAAATGCAACTGCTCTAACACCCCTCACTTTTTTCCAAAAAACAGAAAGATTTCTGATAAACGAGACTTGCCAGCAAGATACCTCACAACGTGTCCCAGGCACAGTAATTCAGAAAGCATGATATAGGGGACCTGACTCATCCCAGAACCAATCCTATTTACATATCTCTTGCTGAACGTCTCGCAGCGATGCTCTTGCACGCAGCACTTAAACGCTTGCCGTGGGCACTGGCACTTCATTTGGCAATGAAAATGCCCCATGAAAGAAAAGGTACAGTGTTTACTGGCAAAATACTTTAACGAGAATAAAATCACCTGAGGGTTTAAATATTCGTGAAGGTACTTCCTGCATTAATGAGTTCGGTTACGAGCAACACAATTTTCCCTTGAGGTGCCCGGCCCCTAGTAAAATTCGCAGCCCTGCTAGAGATGACCCCTTAGCTGTTACAGCACCATTGTATCTGGGAACCTGCCTTAGGCTGCATCTGCTCATACATCTCAACCTGGACACCATCAGCAGATACAGAAGGAAATATCACATTTATGGAGCACTGAGAATGTAAGATATTTTTTTTCCCCTCTCAACAAAGCAGTTTAAATTCAAATCTGCTAATATATCACCAGATCATTTCTCAATGCACACACTTGTCACAATAAATAAGCCAAATATAAGCAGTACCATAATTTATAAACATGTAAAATTATGCTGAATGAATTAGCTGCCTCTGTTCACAGTTTATAGGCATTACTGGTTGGGAGGCGTGGCTGAAAGACTACTTGGTATCTATAGTACCCATAGCAAACTTGGACGGCACCTTTTAAATAATACCCTTCCTATCGGTTTTACCTACAGAGGTACTGACATTTCAGTGTCTATTTTTATATTTCCTAAAGTTACATGCAAAATGGAAAAAAACAATTTCAAAGAGCCACCTAAGGTGCACAAGGCTGCTTTGATCTGCCCACTGTGCCAGCGATGGGTTGGAGGATACATACATTACTCAGACAAAAAAATAGCCTGTAGTGCTCTGGATTGTCTGCAGTTGATGGTTTGTGGGCACAAACCCCATTTCTCTCATTTCCTTAGAATCATAAATTCCTTAAGATCTTAACATCTTTCCTTACCTGAAAGCAGTCAGGATGTTGCGAACATCCTCCAGCAGCCACCACAAAAAAGCAAATCATATTTTCCCTCCCCAAAACGCAGAAATAGTCTTTTACCTGGCTTGTTCGCCTTGATGGATCCAAACAAGAGCCACATCAAAAGGCACTTGAGCTCCATGGGACTTGTTCACATCTTTTCTCCGCAACGCTGAGGATGGCGAAGTTTCTCAGAAGCGATGGGCTGGTGCCGACCAAGCTGAAGAGCCATCTACTGCCTGGTTAGACTGGTGGGGAGCATCACCCTGTGTGCATGGCAAGGACTTTGCTCTTTGGTCAGCAAATCGTCGTTTCGCTGGCTGGCTCCGCGAGAGAGAATAAAGTCTGCTCTCTGTTCAGGTATTAGTAGCTTTTATCCAGGAAATCAAACTTAATGCTCAGTGTGGTGGAGCATGCCGTGGTGTGTAGGAAGTGGTTTGACACATCAGAGCTACTGACTCCAGAGCTGTTCCACTACAGCTGAGGTCAGTACAAGGGGGCAAGATTTTGATGGGTTTGTGCAGCCACTTGACCCTAAATCTGTGGCTGGACAGTGTGGCGATTGAAATGACTAGCGCACCCTTAAGATTTTCTAGCACTAGCACTTTACTTTGGTCACACTCAGCATTATATAGTTCTTTGTATGTCCATGCGACTGTTACAGTCCTGTTTTGCTTTCTGATAGGCTTGGCTTGTCCGTCCACGCGTCTTCATTATCAGTCTGATTGATCTTCTTTTGTTCTGATGCAATTTTGTAGATTATTGCATTCGTGGATCTTCTTTTGCTGACTTCTTCACTTTGCTACGGACTTCCCCAAAGTTGTTTACCACTTACTTTTCAAGGACAGAGCATTAGGGGCTCAAGGTCAAGGCTTCCCGCAGCGAGACCTTCCCCCATGGGACAGGCCTTTGAGAGGGACCATCACTGTACAATAGTTGTCTGGTGTATGACAACGGACCTCAGATACCATCTGTGGGCTCTGCCTACAAAGAAAAGGTCCCATGGGGTATCATTTCGGCTTTTTGGAGGTCGTCTGCTAATGATGATAAAGTCCCCCTCCATTCATTTTTTGCCGTATGCATGTTTGCAGTTTCTCTGAGTGACAGCTGAGATTCTGAAGGACAGACAGTTTGGCCAAAAAAAAATCTATAAGGATAAGGCTGGCAGGTTTGGAAAGGGCTTCTCTGCTCCTAGATTGCCTGGGTTTGCCATGCTTCAGTGGAATGTCTTCTTTTCAGTGGAAAACTGGAAATGATCGAGGAAGTATCACACTTTATGTAGTTTTCTACAGCCATTTCCTCAGAAATTATTATTTGTTAGTACCTAGAGAATTAATTGGGACAAACTGGAAAAAACAGATGTAAACTATCTGTGGTATTCTGTCATGATTATTACATGCTGGACATTTACTTCTCCTTTATAAATCCTTAATGAATGAAATTTTCCTAACAGGCATGCTGAGAAATAGATATGATACATTTTTAAATCCCATGATGGCTGCGTCCATCAGTTGTAGCCACAGACACAGAGGATGCTGTGTTAGTACCTCTGTTCCTCACTATCAGAGACTCTCCTGTTCTCACACCCGTAAGGGTGATGGTCCTGTGAAAGGCAGCTGACACAAGGGAGCTTCTTTTGAGTGACACCCATAACAGACCTTTGTGAAGGGTGTGAAGGAAGATGCCATATGTATGGCAGGCTGCACAAATGCACATCTTCTCCCCCAGCATGTGGAAAGGTGCAAACAAGACTTTAGGCAGTGCTGGTGAGAGAGGCAGACAGAAGGGATGCTACAGCCCTTGCTATCTCTCTCTCTCTCCTGATAAATCTCCCTTTGCCCTTTCCATGAAAGCTTTTGTGCAGCTTCACTGATGTCGGTCCTCTTGGACGGTCTGTTGGCAATGAGGTTTTGGCCAGGACATTACTGCCCAAACCCAAATGCAACAGGGCACAGAGAACAAGTAAGACTTCTTGCAGAACTGTTGTGGACAAAATGCTTTGCTCACCTGGGGGCTGCTCCGTGCTCCACAGATATTTATTGCCTTTGCTTTAGTACCAAATCATCTTCCATATTTAATAGGATAATAGGAAACACTCATAGAATCATAGAATCATAGAATGGTTTAGGTTGGAAGGGACCTTGAAGATCATCGAGTTCCAACGCCCTGCCATAGGCAGGGACACCTCCCACTAGACCAGGTTGCCACAGCCCACTGAAAGTCTTGGAGAGATTTGCTCTTAAAATATTGTCTGAAAGTCATAAACCCCAATTCTTCACCTTTTTTCAAGATACCTGATGATATGCAACTTCATATGCAGAACCACAACCATCTGGGTTGGTAAGACATATTTGTTACATTGCATGGCAAGAAAACCCAGGCTGTTTATGACAATTTGTCCTTCCCCTACTAAACATGTGGTCTGCTCTTTGGAGATGCAGGGATTTAGTCCCCAACATCTCCTTCTATTTCTTGCCTGGTCAAACTATTTAATTTCATAGCTATTTGCATGATGGAGACAGAGATGGGAGACCTTTTCTGCAGTCTTTCAGCTCAATCTGAGCAAACTGAGCAGAGGGCAGCAGTTTGGACCGCAGACACAGATCCTCAACAAGCTGAATTTTTGCTTTCACTGAAAAAAGGTCTCTTTGGGGCAGGTGAGCTGAGACGGGCTCCCTCTTTCCCGCAGCCATTTGCTTTCAAGCAGCAAATCTCAGCGTAGGTGGATAATAGCCCCTAAGATTTTATTAGAAATGGTGAGTTTTTATCCTAGGAAGAACACGCAGTGTACAGTCAGTACTGGAAGGAACGGTGACCCCAGGTGGCTAATTGCTACAAACACAGCCTGCATGAGAAAGACCCGTAACTCGGCATTTAGACCTTTTCAAGGTCAGGAAAAAAAAAAAAAAAAAAAACCAACAACCCGGTTACCGCTTGTGAGAGCAATTAGTTAGGTCAGCTTTGTGAAATAGGTCAGCTTGCTGAACGATTCCAGGAAAAAACAGTGCTGCTTCTGTAAGCTACTGACCCAAAGCAGAGTAAGGCAGAGAAGGGGAGGGTGAAAACAGAGGGACCCAGCAAGGGGGAAAAGTTATCTAGGCACAGAAAAAACAGGGGGTTATGAGAAAAACCCCACATAATTAGCATTATAATTTAGATGATGAACGTTAGCTGTTAGCAACAGAGGTGTGTGGCAATAAAGGAGAGGAGGTGCTGAGAAAACTCAGTGGAAACCAAGAAAATGATGGAGGGAAGCAGGAGCATCTTGAGTATCTGGGAAGGTATAGGGGGAAAAGAAGGTGGTGTCTCCGTTGCTTGATGGCATTCTTCCATTGATGACCAGAGTTTTGCTGCTCAGCGAAGTCCTCTCTTTTAGCAGAGATCTGGGAGGAAAAGAGACCATCACATGGCCCAGGTCACCACAGACAAGATTATGAAGATTATTTTTATACAATGCCAAAAGACAAAGAAAGATGCAGAAATGGAGTTGTCAGAGAGTAAAACACAGACATAGCTCCAGCCTTCTTTATGTCTAGGTTTAACAAGGGCCTTTTGAAATCCTGCAAGTGCTTTTAAAACTCTTAGTGCACAAACTTGTCTGGCATGGAGGTCTGAGCAGCGGATTTTACAGTGTATCTGGTGCAGTTTTATCTGATGGGAAAAAAAAAAAGCCCAAACCAAAACAAAACAGAATAATTTAGAAGTTAAGGAGAAAACAAAAATTCATAGATACCTGTGTCCCCCGATACTTGGGAGACTTGGTCTCTTTGCATTACCATCTCAAATAAAACTGAGCAGTATTAAATTTTCATTTTGGCATTGCTTATTTTATAAATCCAATGACGTAGCAAGCAAAACCAAGCCAGCTTAAAGAAAGGACAATACTATGATTTTGTTGCAACCCTTCCCAGTTCAAAGCAGTGGCAAATATCCACATAACTCACTAAAATAAGCAAAATTTGTGTTTTGTTTCTTTAATTTAACTTTTCTGCTGTGAATCACTCTTACATGAGCCCTCTATTCAAGGGAATAGTACTTCATATGGACCTTGCCAGGAGGGTGTGGAGGTGGCTCTAACAGCTAACTAAACACTGTTAATCACTAAAATATAAAGCAGTATGCTTATATGCCCTTGAAATTATGGTAATCCTGGTTCTTAACTCACATTATTTATTTTTTTACTTAGGGGGAAATGTATTGGGAAATTTACCTTAGGCATGGGATGCAGTGCTACTCTGTACTGAATGGCTGAAGCTCAAATAGCTAGGTTTTGCACTTAAATAGGCTACTCTTGGCTTACTTTACAGGTTACTTAGAGCACCATGCTTAGTATTTTCAAGAAAAAGAATTAAAAACGCCATGCACAAGGGCCCTTCCCATCCTCCACAGCAGCATCCAGCTCTGCTGCAAAGCAGAGGTATGGGGAAGTGCTAGAAAGGGTCATCAGAAATTTTGCACCCAAGCTAATTATTTATAATCGCCAAACTGTTTTTAACTGCTTTTTATTTCCCATAAAAGTGAGAGAGAGCTGACATGAGGCACACAAATTTTGCATCTTAAACGGAGCATGTTTGCAAGGTCAACAAGGATTTAGGTTCACACAGAATCACAGAATCTCCTGGGCTGGAAAAGATCTGTAAGATCATGTAGTCCAATCATTAACCTAACACTGACAAGCCCACCACTAAACCGTGTCCCTAAGCTCTATATCAAGAGAGAGTTGTATGGCAACACAGTTGTCCAAGTTTCCCCTTGAGTCAATGGAGACAGTCAACAAGTGCATATAGAGAGTGATTCATCTCTTCTTCTGGACATCAATATCTATGGGATGAATCACCTATGCGAACTTCTCTCCTTCCCTCCCATCTCCAGACAACCGTTAAACCAGCGCAACTAGTTTAAACCAAACACAGGCCTTTTAGGCAGCTACAGCTGGGTGAGAAAAATCCACCCTGAAAATACATACTGAATTTCAAAGGAGAATTTAAATTACTTATTTAGCGACTGAGAACAGTCTTCCCTGTCAAACACCCTGGACATGGTTCATTATACTCTTACTAACTATTCCTTTCACTGATGCCACACTCTGTGATAAATACGTGAGGACCATAAAACTGAAAGGGAACCTCGAGGGTCCAGTAT